TGCGGTGGGGTGATCCCCTCCCGGCCCGGAGGGGCTGTGGGGGTGCGGGGTGGGCAGCACCGGGGACTTGGTGCAGCCCCGGGTGTGTGTGTGTGCACGTCTGTAACACACACGCACCTCTGCCCGCACATCTGCACACGCACCTGTGCCTACCTGTGTGCACACACGGACGTGCCTGCATGCACATCTGAGCACACACGCACACGGCCCGTGCACGTCTGTGCCCATCCACATCCCTGCACACGCACATCTGCACACTCACCGTGGCACACTCACCGTGGTTCAGCCACTCCTGCATGCCCACGGCTGAACATGCACCTGCACCAGTCAGTGCTACCTCACACACAGAGCTGCAGGCACACACCTCTTACACATCCACACTTATGTTTGTGCACACATCAGCACGTGTCGGGGTCTGCACGGCCCACAAGGTCCCTACAGGGGTGTGTGTACAGCTGCACACACACCTGTGCACACACACAGCACGCTCAGCTGCGCATCTGGCACACATGAGCACTCACACAGCAGCACACAGCAGAGGGATCCACACACAGCCCCAGATACACCAGCACTAAAGAACATGTAACATGAAAAAGAACATGTAACTGCACACATCAGCACACACAGCTACACATCTGGCACACACAGGCATCTGTACACACAAACACATCTGCACACTCACGTGCATTTATGAATCTACAAGCACTGATCAGCAGCACATGATAAACGTAGAGGACTGAAGACTGAAGGCCAGACATGGTACTGCTGACACATCAGTGCACGTGTGTGCACACAGCTCGCATGAGAACACATCAACACCTGTGTGTGTGCACAGAGGGACATGCATGAACAGACACATATGTGTACACAGCAGGATATCAGGGTGTGTATGTGTGCACAGACATGCATGAACAGACACACGTGTACACAGCAGGGCATCAGGACATGTATGTGTATACAGACACACCTCAGAACGTGTAAGTGTGCACTGAAACTTGTTGGGATGTGTGTACAAACACACTGCAACACCAG